TCCTGAGGCAATAATGTTTGATGATTTGTGCAGTGACCAAGAACAGAGGTTCTATGTCCAAGTCCCAGCTTTGTTACTTTGCTAAGTTTTTTGCCTAAAATAAGTTACTTAATCTCTCTATGCCTCTGTTTCCTGTCTCTAAAATGAGAGTAATAATAATTATCCCTACTTCATGGTGTTGCTGTGGTGATTAAATGGAATAATATATATGAAGTCCCCAGAAGATACCTGGATAGTCTATGTTTAGTTAATGGGAAACATTATAATTACTGTTATGATTATGCAACAGGGAAGAGTAATTTTAAATTTAAGCTGGATCTATTTTTGTGACTTTAACCCTTTTTTGGTATTATAAGAATATATAAGGGTCTGCCTCAGGGAGATAATCTGAGCGGCCCAATTGTGAAGGACTATAAGGAACTGAAACTAACACATTCCCCTGCCTGAGGCTTCCCATTCCAGGGGACATTTGCAAGGACTGAATAGTCTTTTTACTTTGTTTCCTCACCTCCCCTCCCATCTATGATCTATAAAGAACCTGGCAACCAGGCCATGACATGATAGCCTGCCAATTTCTTGGTCAGCCGACTCTCGGATTAAAGTATCTTCCTTGCCTCAACGCTCTGAGACTCGGATTCATTGGCCCATCGTGCAGCGAGCAAAGCAAGCTTGGACTCGGTATGGTTATTGTATTGAGTGAGGAGAATATGTGCTCTGTGGATGATCAGTGACTCACTGGGGAAAAAAATCAAGGATCCCATACTGGTAAATTAATGAATTCTATTTCTTAATTTTATATATGAGGAAATACTTGTGGACTAACTCACTTAATTTGAAATTGATGACTTTTGACTATGAAAAGTTTTAATAGTAAAACAATAGTATACTATTAATAGTATACTATTAGTGATATTAGTCACATTTATTATAATTAATATATGTTAATATAATTAAGTATATTAATAGCATGTAATTTAATAGTAGTTCAGTTCAGTTCAGTTGCTCAGTTGTGTCCGACTCTTTGTAACCCCATGGACTGCAGCACACCAGGCTTCCCTGTCCATCACCAATTCCCAGAGCCTACTCAAACTCACGTCCATTGAATCAGTGATGCCATCTAACCATCTCATCCTCTGTTGTCCCCTTCTCCTCCTGCCTTCATCTTTCCCAGAATCAGGGTTTTTCCAATGAGTCAGTTCTTCACATCAAGTGGCTAAAGTACTGGAGTTTCAGCTTCAGCATCAGTCCTTCCAATGAACACCCAGGACTGATCTACTTTAGGATGGACTGGTTGGATCTCCTTGCAGTCCAAGGGACTCTCAAGAGTCTTCTCCAACACCACAGTTCAAAAGCATCAATTCTTCAGTGCTCAGCTTTATTTATAGTCCAACTATCGCATCCAGACATGACTACTGGAAAAACCATAGTTTGACTAGACAGGCCTTTGCTGGCAGAGTAATGTCTCTGCTTTTTAGTATGCTATCTAGGTTGGTCATAACTTTTCTTCCAAGGGGCAAGTGTCTTTTAATTTGATGGCTGCAGTTACCATCTGCAGTAATTTTGGAGCCCCCAAAAATAAAGTCTGATACTGTTTCCATTGTTTCCCCATCTATTTCCCATGAAGTGGTGGGATTAGATGCCATGATCTTAGTTTTCTGAATGTTGAGCTTTAAGCCAACTTTTTCACTCTCCTCTTTCACTTTCATCAAGAGGCTCTTTAGTTTTTCTTGCATACCTGAGTTTATTGATATTTCTCCTGGCAATATTGATTCTAGCTTGTGCTCCATCTAGCTCAGCATTTCGCATGAGTACTCTGCATTTAAGTTAAATAAACAGGATGACAATATGCAGCCTTGATGTACTCTTTTCCTGATTTGGAACCAGTCAGTTTTTCCATGTCCAGTTCTAACTGTTGCTTCTTGGCTTGCATACAGATTTCTCAGGAAGCAGGCCACGTGGCCTGGTACAGTAATATTAATGGAATACAAATGGCCTAGTAGTACACATGGAATGGAATCTCAGAGTTAGAAAAAGTGCCAATCCAACCACTTCTCCAGTGCATATATCCCCCTGACTACCTCCCAGGTGCGTAGATGGTCCTATACTCTAAAGGTGGGGAGAGTTTAGTTTTGGTCCTGTTAGTCTCTGGATCTCTTCCGTATCTGATGGCCCATCCCATGCTAGGAACTATGCCTAGCACACTGAGACGTGAGGAGACTGTTCATTGTAATGGTGTTCTGTTGGGATGGTAATGAAATCTCTTCTAACACTTAGCTTTCTATGTATTGCCATGGGTCTGGTCCCAGATAACAGTAAAATTGAGTGAGCTGAAAACAATATGCTCTTAAGTCACTGGATCAGCTATTCCATAAAAGAGAGAAATAGATTGAATGTTGACACCTGTCAGGTAGAAAGTTTGGAGTTTGAGAATTTAGATCTGGAAAAGACCTGGAAAATGATCCATACATTAGAAATGATTCACAAATGAAGAAATAGGATCAGAGAGGTTAAGAGTCTCAGCTGCATAAAGTCAGCTAGCTAATATGAGCGAACACAAAGAATAAGAGTTCTTTCTGCCACCTCTCTCCGATTCTCCAGCAGAGTGATTAGAAGTGTAGCCTCTAGAGACAGACTGCCTTGATTCAAATTTTGGTTCTACCCCCTCCTGGCAGTGTGATCTTCAGACAGTTGTAGACTTTTCTCTGCCTCAATTTTCATATGTGAAAGATGGGAACAGTAATAGAGGTTTTGTGTGGATTAAATGAGATGTGTATAAGATACTTAGGACACTTCCTGGCAACATGAAAGATATTCAATAAATGTTTGTTATAATTGCTTCCGAAGAGCCTCAGGAAAATCAACTCTTAAGTCAGAGAGTAAATGTTTTGGCCAGGTGAGTGTTTTCAAGTATTTTCCCTCACTTAAAATATGGCTTTTAAATTTCTTCCTAACTTCTAATTTGTAACTGATCTTCAGGACCCATCTGTCCTCTTAATAGCCATACACTTCCCTGGAACCACTGTGTGAGTTTTGGATGAAAAGAGGAAATTTTTAAATAATAATTCCATATTATTTATATTTCCAGTCCATATTCAGCAGATATTTACAGTGTCATCTGCCCTGTGCCTGACACAGAGATAGTGCCTGGAGGGACGCAGGGGTGGGTGGTCTTATGTGCTTCTTGTTCTCAGGGTGTGTACAAGTTAGATGGAAAGGTTGGCAGTTAAATAGGTAATTCCCTCCACAAAGCTGAAGGAAGCACTGACAGGACTAGATAGAGTGATTTTACAGTACATGGAAAGAGCCTTAAATCCCTAAAGTTGATTTAAGGGATCAAGGAAGGACTCTTTGAAAGAAATGATGCTTCTGCTGAGACCTTAGTGAGCTAGATTCTTGGCTAGTTTAGATGGGGACTGGAGAAGAGTATTCCAGACACGGGATCATGTCTGAGTGTTGGGTGTGAGAGAAGGACTCAGGCTTGAGAGAAAACACTGGGTGTTCATTAATCTAGTCAACATTCAGCAAGTGTTTAATTAAATACTTACTCCTTAGCTGGCATTGTTTTACATACTATAGAGACATCAGATAATAAAACAGGTGATATCTTTATTTTCACGGAATTTATTGGGGAGAAGAAAGAAAAAATATGAAGTGCAGGGAACAGAACTCCCTCAGGTCAGTCACTCAGTCGAGTCCAACTCTTTGTGACCCCGTGGACTGCAGCACGCCAGGCCTCCCTGTCCATCACCGACTCCCGGAGCCTACTCAAATTCATGTCCATTGCATTGGTGATGCCATCCAACCATCTCATCCTCTGTCGCCCCCTTCTCTTCTCACCTTCAATCTTTATCAGCACCAGGGTCTTTTCCAATGAGTCGGTTCTTCGCATCAGGTGGCCAAAGTATTGGAGTTTCAGCTTCAGCATCAGTCCTTCCAATGAATGTTCAGGATTGATTTCCTTTAGGATGGACTGATTGGATCTCCTTGCAGTCCAAGGCGCACTCAAGAGGCTTCTCCAACACCACAGTTCAAAAGTATCAATTCTTTAGCACTCAGCTTTCTTTATAGTCCAACTCTCCCATCCATACATGACCACTGGAAAAACCATAGCTTTGACTAGGTGGACTTTTGTGGGTAAAATAATGTCTCTGCTTTTTAATATGCTGTCTAGGTAAGCCCACAGAGCTCCTTAAGGTAGAACAATCAGGGAAGTGTTTAGGATGAAGTCAAGCTGAGACCACAAAGTTGAGAGCAGCCAACCAGGTAAACACCTGGGGAGGGAAGGTTTCTGGCAGAAGGAACAACATGGGCAAGGGCAGGGATGATCAGGCTGCTGGAGAAATGAAGAGGACTGACCAGTGCGCTGGGGTGGGGGAAGTGGTACGAATGATTCAGAGTGTCTGGGTTGGGTTGTTGGTGATGGAGAAAGGCATTTCTAGTACAAACTAGTTATTCATTATTTTTTAAGACACATACAATGTGGTGTCGCTTTTCAAATCTAGGAAGCTTTTGGAAGAACTCAGTAGCTAATATCTCTTTCCTGAAGTGGGTCTTCACTTTGTGTTTTAATAGCTGAGATGAGGCAAAGAGCATATTTTCATCACCACCGGCTAGAAATACACTTAAGATACATATGTGTCCAGATTGCTGGTCCTATTCCCAGTCGTGAGCACATGTCAGCAGCATCACGACTCAGCAGGCTGCCCAGCTCAACAAGAGGACTCATTATATTGGTTACAGGGTGCTGGGGGTGGGGGGTTGCACGGGGAAGGTGTTTTCTCTGAGCCCTAGCCCTGTAGTTCCAATTACCCTTCTGAGCTTTCTTTTCCTGTTTCATTCCTTTGGACTCAAAACTTGTGTTTCTCAAAAATGCTTTAAATTCTCTCTACCCACCTTTGGTCTGCTTTGATCCAGATTAATTGGCCACTGTTTCTCTGGATTACCTGTCTCTGTTTTCTTATGGGCCCCATAGAAGACTCATGGCTCTTGTTTGCTTCCAGTTAACAGCTTCGGAGATGATGAGGAGCTGTCCACATCTTCTGACAGTGATGAGGAGGTGATCAAACAATTTGAGATTTCCGTGTCCCGGTCCCAGACTTTCTGCTCGGGAGCATCTGAGAAAGGAAAGCAGACAGGATTGGAGCATAAACCCAAGCCCAGTCACCGTCTCTCCACCCACAAAGAAGACAGCACAGAAGTGTCCACCTGCAAAGGTATTCTTTGCATCAAACCTTTCCTTTATCTAGACCAGGTATGTCTAATGGTAAGAATGATTTTGAGTCACTGCACTGGCATCTGAGAGTCCAGAGAGGAGAGAAAAAAGAAGGGTGATGTCCAGAAGGTGGGACAGGGCCAAAGGGCTGCTTCAGACCTTCCAAGGAGTCTCATGCAGAGAGAATGGATCAGCAGTACCAAAGTCTTGATCCTGAATTGTGGAACCCCCTTCCTTCCTCATAGTTTACTGCTTTGTACATTTTGACAGCTAATGACTAGAATGGTATTTTTCAAGGTTTATAAAATTTCATTCCCTTCTGACAAGTACAAAAATTTTACATACATGTCTCCTGATGTTGCACTTCTGTGCCTTTCCCCCCATTTGAAAATGTAGGATCCATCTTCCATATATCTATGTAACCCCAGGAGAGTTTTGAAGCCTTACTTTTAATAGGTTGTATTATTAAAACAATAGGTATGTTTTACCTTCCAACTAAAAATAATGTGTTTTCATAATACTGAATAACCTTTTTTAAACAACATGTACCCTGCACGCTCTCCCTCATGCCCTATAGTTTCTGGAGCCCAACCCGTATTATAATCCTGGGTGGGAGCAGGTCTCTTGGCACCCTCCATCTTCATACTAAGTGTACTTTTCACAAAGGGAGAGAGGGGCACTCAGGGCCGGGTGAGCACAGCCTGTGACTGTGAGTAGGACTTGTCAAGGGTCCTTGGCCCTGCCCACCAGGCATACAAAAGAACCTAGGGAAAGAACAGTACGATATTTATTAGTGCTTTCCACAGCAAAGGTCAGGCATCTCTCTATCTCTCTGACTCCTTTATGCCCAGAACCCTGAATGGCGTAGGACATTGGAACAGGGAACAGTCTGTGAAGTGTATCTGGTAAAAAAAAGTAAGCCACAGAAAATGTCATACTGTCTACCATAGTGACCTGGTCTAAAATGACCTGGGTTCTCTAATCTTTTCCTTCTTTCCTCTGGGCCTGTAGTTCATCCAACCAATGGGATCATAGTTGGTCTTCCTTGTTTTTCAGCCCTTAGTAATAGGAAGACTTTTAAAAAGGAGAGTGTAGAACTGAGAGATGATAACAGAGAAGAAATTTCTGATTTGATGATATGGATGAAGTGGGCAAAAAAAGAACAAAGGAGGCAGAAAGGAAAAGTAACAAATAAGCCCTATTTTTTTTAGCAGGAATATAATAATTTGCTGACCTAATGTAATTTTACTTATTGACACGGGCCACATAGCATTTTATTGCTAGTCTTTTTAGCCCAGGTAAGCCAAGAGATAAACGCTCAGTGTAACCAAAGAATAGTAACAGTTGCCAGAGGCCCTCTAATCTCCTCACCCTCTCTCCTGTTTGCTTTTTCTCTGCTGTTAGAGCACAGTGCTCTCTCTCCACTGAGAGAGCAAATGTTAGCTAATGAAAGTTAATCGCACTTGATCCCCTATGAGTAGCTTGTTTAATTCTAAAGCTAATGGCCCCATTTCCCAGAGGCCCAAGTGTCTAGATTTTGATTTATACAAACACGTTGTTCTGAAAGTTCTTACAAACACTGTAGCCCTCAACCTTCCTGGAATCAGCAGCAACTTTTGTCGTAACTGGTGTGATTCTGAGTTTTTTGACAGATGGTGATAGAAAGGCTACATTTTTCTCTATCGGAGGGTGGAATGAGTCTACTCCATTGAATGAATTACCTGTACATTTTGAAGAAAATCAGCAAGAGTTTTCATGAGAATGATTAACAGCATGCTAGATTTTAGGTTATCAAATGCCATGGAAATGTTAATGTAATTTTTATTGCATGATTTTTTCTGTGTCATTTCTTTTTGTTCATTTTTAGATCATTAAATTTGTGTCAGCGGTAAAGAATAATGAAAAGATTAAGCATGCACCCCAGAGAGAATTTTTTTAACACCTTTTCTCTATTTAGCTATTTTCCCCTCTACTTTAAACATGGTTTTCTAAGATCAAATTTGCATGCGTGCATGCAAAGTTGCTTCAGTTGTGTCTGACTCTTTGCAATCCTATGGACTGTAGCCCACCAGGCTCCTCAGTCCTTAGGATTCTCCAGGCAAGAATACTGGAATGGATTGCCATGCCCTCCTCTAGGGGACCTTTCCCACCCAGGAACAGAACCTGCATCTCTTATGTCTCCTGCATTGGCAGGTGGGTTCTTTACTATTAGTGCCACCTGGGAAGCCCCAAGATCAAATTTAATTGTAGACAGTTCTTTCACTTAAAGGGTGCATTCAGAATGTAGAACCAGTGAAATTCAAGGTCCAAACCCACTTAAAACCTTCTTCATATTCCATCTAAGTTCTCTTGTCTCACATATCTGATTTAGTGTTATTGTGAATTAGTTGTATGATCACTGTATTCCTGATAATGTCAAAGAGGACTTGGCCTAAGTGATCTGAATCAGGAGCTGTGCATGAGGTCTCTACGCTTGTAAGGTGGGCTACAGAATAATAGCCCACTTATTGGACTTTTTGTTTGTTTTGAGCAAAGCCTTATTTTTGTTTGTGAAATATTTAGTTCTTAAGATGTTTCATAGTAGCTAATCATTACCTTCCTGGTGTCATTTAAAACAAGTCAATTATCCCCTGTGTGTGTGTGTGTGTGTGTGTGTGTGTGTGTGTATTTTAAGAGATTTATTGCAAAGAATTGCCTTATGTGATTGTGGGAGCTCTGAAATCCACTGTTCAGGAGAGGCTTAAACTCAGGAAGGAACTGAAGCTTCAGTCTATAGATGAAATTGCTTCTCCTCCAGTAATGCCTCAGTTCTCCTCTTAAGGCCTTTCAAGGAACTGATTGTGTAGGATAATCCCCTCTACTGAAAGTCAACTTTAATTATAGCTACAAAATGCCTTCACAGCAACTCCTAAATTAGCATTTGATTGAATAATTGAGGCCTATAGCCAAGCTGACACATAAAATTGACCATCAAGAATGGTAGGTGATGGAGGGAAGGGTCTTGTAGTAGAAAAGAAAGCATAAAAGCATAATAGGTTTACACCCCATCAAAGTGGGATATGGACTAAAAAATTTCCTCTCATAAAATAAATATGGTTGATGTGACACAATTATGCTCTATAATTTCTAAGAAGCCAGGATACATTTCTCAACAACAGGCAATTACTTTTCTGTATGTGTTTAAGGTGACATGACCTTCTTTAATTTAAAGCATGGGAAGATGCTTTATGTAACAGTGAATCACCCTTCCCCCTCCTTGCAACTTGACTTGTCCCCCAGATTTGCCTTTCTAATTCATTCCTTGCTTGTCTGTCAAGGAAAATGGTTTGTTACATTAATATAGTTCTTAAGTTTTTCAGTTATGAATAGCTTTTTAAGGCTTTAATGTAGCTTTTGAAAATTCCCTTATTACTGATCTAAGTATTATCACTGTGGGAGTTGAAGTCATGAGACAATTTTATGGGGGTAATTTCTTGGCAGAGTTAGATTTTGTGCTGAGATCCTGCTGGGCGCTACACACATTGATGGATGACCCACTGTTTAATAGGACATTTTAGTGTTCGTGTATGTGAGGAATGGATGGGCTAATTAGAGCCTGAGAAGAAAATTCCGCTTTGTGTTATAGGGTTTTGCAAATGGAATAACCCTTGTTCTGTCATTTTCTGGGTCTTTTTTTTTTCTTCTGTGTGTATGTTTGCCAGATAACTGAAAGTATGAATGTTAAGATTTCAGGTATCCCATTAGAGTGTTTCCAAGAGGCCTGAAGTGAATTACTAAGAAAAACAAGGCAGATGGAGAACTTCTCAATGACTTGCCATAATTTGGCAAAATCCCAAATGAGGGATTGGAATTCCTGCCCTGAAAACCAACTCTTCCCAAAGATTTTTGTATCTGGTTTGCAGAGGGTGATGATGTGTTTTTAAGTTTATGTGTTTATTGTAGGTGGGTCAAATATTGTCTGCTAAACCACTGTCCACACTGCTCCATATTGCTGCACATCTGACTGTTTCAAGTATTTGTTATCTGCATAGCCTTGAAAGCTACTTGAGATTTAATAAAATCCACTTTGAATCTGAAGGAGTCAGAGAAGATTCAGGAGTTCCCGGGACTTTGGATGGACAGGAAGGAAAGGAGAGGAGGAAGGGCTTGAAGACCGCTGTGAACAAAAATACACAACTGTTGTTTTCATGGAAAAGACTATGCAGTATATGGATGTTGCTTAGCAGCTTCAAGGACCTTATGTTCTAGCTCAGATTTTAAGACCAACGGTGGGAACAACTGCTATTAAACAGTGTGTAAATAAGAGCTGAGCTTGTCATCCTCACGAATCCTGTCTATATCTCTAATTTTCCATCATCCTGGGAGTGGGGGACACTGGAGAAGAGTAGAGGCCAAAGAGATAAGACATCCTTGTCTACTTTCTGGATGTGGGAGGCAATTTAGGGTGAAAACTGTTGCTTAGGAAGAACAGGAAGATCCTGTCAATTTTTCCTTATTATCTGAGGGTAACCTGGATGTCAAGGAAGAGGAAGGGGGTGAACAGGGTAAGGGAGTACCAAGAGAGAGGAGACACTAAGGGCTGAGAAAGACTCTGAGTCTAAATGAGTCAGAGAAGATTTGGGAGCTGTCGGGAGGGCTTGAAGAATGCTGTGAACAAAAATATACAACTGGTGTTTTCATGGCCTATGAGATCACAGATGTCTATGAGTTTGGTGGTAGTACTGAATGGGCTTTGCTGGATGAGGTTGGATGCTTTGCTGGATGCTGGTTGGATGAGGCCAGACAGGTAAGCAAGGCTAATATTTATGGAAAGGCTGGTGGTTGCTAGGCAGATATTATTTCACATGTCCACAGTGAGTTTCTGACGGCTTTTCCCAATGACTCAGTGGATAAAGAATCTTCTTGCAGTGCAGGAGATTCAGGAGACTTGGGTTCGATCCCTGGGTGGGAAGATACCCTGGAGGAGGAAATGGCAACCCACTCCAGTATTCTTGCCTGGAGAATTCCATGGACAGAGGAGCCTGGTGGTCTATAGTCCATGGGATTACAAAGAGTTGAACATGATTGAGTAAGCAAACACACATAGACAAGGAAACAAAGGTTAAGACAGTTCAAATACTGTTCAAGTTCTTAATGCAAAACTTGGATTTTAAACCCAGATCCTCTGAATCCAGGGGCTTCCCAGGTGGCACTAGTAGCACTAGTGGTAAAGAATCTGCCTGCCAATGGAAGAGATACAAGAGATGTGGATTTGATCACTGGGTTCAGAAGATCCCCTGGAGGAGGAAATCACAACCCACTCCAGTATTCTTGCCTGGAAAATTCCATGGGCAGAGGAGGCTAGTGGGTTATAGTTCATGGAGTTGTGAAGAGTTGGACTTATTTTATCCTTCAGACATAATGTACATCCTTTATGTTCATATTATCATAAAGCGTCCAGTCTTCTTGTACCCTACATAATGAACTAATGGGTTTTGATTTTATGGGCCAAGTTTATCCACCATATAGATGAAAGTGTGCTTCAGCAGATGTTATTTAATGAGTTTTGTTTTAGCACACTCGATTGGGATAGTTGCTATTGCCCATTTTCTCTAGATAAAAAGATGAAACATGACAGTACATTTGAAAGAATTTTCTTTTTGCAAATTTAGGTTTGGATGGAGCTGGCCAACTGACTTATTCTGAGAATCTGTCTTATGGTGAAGACGATCCCATCTCTGCCCATTCACAGTCCCCTTGTGAGCTGGGGAACACCAGGCACCATGGTGGATCTCCTGGAGAAACCAGCGTGGTCCACAGCCTCAGTCGGCAGTCCACAGAGGGCAGCCTGGAGATGGAGACAGCTTTTAATAACCGGGGATTCGAAGATTCCTATGCTACTGACAGCTCCTCTGTGTGGAGTCCAGAGGCAAGTTGTTTGTTTTCCACTCTTTCCTGGCTTGAATATTGTCAGCTCCCTGGTTCATTGTTTCCCTTCCCCTCCTCGTTCCTCTCCTCCCTTTCTCCCCACCCTTCAAGAAGAAAATTTTTCCAAAAAGGAAGCATTGCTTTGAAAAACAAACACCTAAACAGCCTTTAATGGAAATGTATTTTTTATTCAGATGACCAAGTCCCAGCTCCTATGTGGGCCACTAAAAAAATCATATGTAAGTGAAATCTATCAAAATGGAAAAATGAAAAAGAAGCATTGGTGGCAGATTGAACTCAGCAACAATCAGGCTTCTTTTTTAATGTAAAGGAGTTTTTAGTTCTTTAGGGAGGCTAAAGATTATTTCCTTCATAGTTTCAATTAAATGGAGTATATACATATTTTTAATACCAAATCTTAAGTTATGAATTTTTGAATATGAGAATTATTTGGGAATGAAACAAAAAGTACAGTGCCCTGCAAATGAAATTATACAAGGTGTTATGATGAAGATCTTACAGTATGAACATATTTATTAGGTCCAAATTGAGCTGAAGTTCTAAGAGATGGCATTAGTCTGTCATGTGTCTCTGTCCATTGACTTTGCTTTTTGGATAAATCTCTGATAAAACATACATTGTCTAATTTCTTTTCCAGTTGAAACTATTCCCAAATATGCCTAAACATCCAGAAGTATGACTGGAGGATTGCCCAGATTCATGTTCATTGAGTCACTAATACTATCTAACCATCTCATCTCATCCTCTGCTGCTCTCTTCTCCTTTTGCCTTCAATCTTTGCCAGCATCAGGGTCTTTTCCAATGAGTCAGCTCTTGGCATCAGGACCAAAGTATTGGAGCTTCAGCATCAGTCCTTCCATTTAATATTCAGGGTTGATTTCCTTTAGGATTGACTGGTTTGATCTCCTTGCATGACTTTAAGATACATTAAATATTCTAATATTTAATATGTCTAATACCTACTTTGAAATTAATGTTGATGAAATAACTCATGTAGTTATATAAAACTTTGGGTGAATAGAGGAAGGAGAAGGGTAGATGGATTTTGTTAGTGTCAGTCTGCCTGAGAAATTAAACAGGATGAATCTCTTATTAGAACCTGGACTGTCATACACACCAAATGCTCATCAAGGAGGAAAAAAAAAATCACAGAAAATTATGTTTCAAAGCCTGACTGCTAAGGTACTGGAGCACATAGAGAAGGCATAAGGAGATGACACAGGGACATGTGTCCTGTGTGTAGAGTTATTGCTCAAGTCCAGGGATGGCAACTTAGATACGTGGTTTGTGGTTGGTTAAAAGAAAACCTTCATATAAAGACCCTCAAAGTGTTCTATCTTATACATTTTGTTAAAAAAAAAAAAAAAGCCTGCTTCCTACTGGTTTACTGCCAAGAATCAGATCAAATCCCACACACTAACATTCAACATTTAAAAATATGATTCTTTTTGGCTCTCTCACCACATAAACAGAACAGAACTGTTTACCTGCCTATTGACAGTCTGTCGCCTTGATAACGGTGCCACTGGGCTTGGAATTACTTTCTCCAGGCAACCTCCCGTTTGCCTGCCTCATGGAGCTTCAATAGAAGACTGGGTGTTGAGGGCACTAAATGTTCTCAGACTCCAAAAATACCCAGACATCGCTGTGTGCTCCATTCAACCTCCTATCTATTTTGAGACAAAAACTGTAATTTGGTGCTCCTACAGTAGAACCTCAGATGCAGTGTGGAGGCAGTTCCTGTAAATGCCTGCTTTGCAGGCTTAGCTCGCCTTTTAAGAATTGATTTATTTGCCTCTTAGCTGTATTAAGAAGCCTCTCTTCCCCTGTGTATCTGGCATCAGGAACACACTGTGGGGCTCTTTACTTTGGGCCACACAGATGACATCAACAGTATCTTGTTAAAACAGAAATGCTTTCAGTTTGATAGAAACATCTTTAAATCTTCATGGGTTTTGCCAATTCTGGCACAAGTGTTCTCATCTTAAAGGAAAACCCAGGATATGAGAGCCAAAGGGATCATTTATTTTGCCTCAGAAGGAAACCAGTCATGCAGTGTGCCTACCTGTTAGGTTGATGGTTTTGCAAGCATTGCTCTTCTCTGCTGGAAAAGGCCATTGACTTTTTCCTGCAGACCCAAGGCTTGGCAGGGGCTATGGTGGGAGGGTGGTTGGCGATTTTGAGCACTCAGGGAGGCGGCTGTCCCACTTTTCATCTCTGCTTTCCACTGATTAACTGATTGGCCTTGAGAAGTTAATTAAAATCTGCCAAATGGGGATAAAAATGAAGAGATTTTTACCTTGCAGGAAGGTCAGATGGATTAGCTGTATTAACAGTACCCACCTGAGGAGTGCCTTTAGTTGCCTGGTGATAGGTAGAGTGTGTTGAAATAATTAATTGCTATGAAAATATCAGCCTTCACAAATCTTGGTCTCAGATCAACCCAGGAAGGGACCACAAAGCCCAGTTTTCATGAGCCATAGCTTGGATTGCACCCATCCAGAGTCTAGCTGTTGCCTGGAGCTGTATCTGATTCAAGATTCTCAGGACAGTTATTTCAGACCCTTCCCCAGGACCTCACCACAAAGCTGCAGATGGAGTGAACATTTATCTGAATGCAGAGCCTGGTAGATAAGTGGGGAGATGCTCATTAACTAGATATTTTTACCTTGGCATTGACATTGATGACAAAGCTGGGAACTGTTAGCTCATATCAAGAGCAGAGGCTTAAAAGGATGTGAAATTCAAAGTAGTGTGTGTTTCCACCTCCCATCTCCTATCTTTTTCCTCTTCATCTCACACACTTACTATGCATGTAAGTAGTTAGGGTGATGACAGGTTTGTGGGGGAGGAAGGTAGACACCATGGTTTCACATGAGATTTGGGACTTTGAGCATTAATACTGGCAAATCTTGGGTAGTTCTGGCTGGTCATATGATTCTGGGGGCAAAGAATGAGTTATTTAGGCATTCTAAGCCTTTGTTCCACTCGCCCCCAAAATGAGGATATTGAAAACCTACCTTATTAGGTTAATGAAAAGTTAATATGAATATCTAAAAAGATAATGTTTCTTAGCTGGATTTTCCAAAAGTACAGCTTACTTTGTTAGGACATGCAGTCCCAGGAATCAAGAGTGAGGGGCAAGGGAAGTGATACAGGGAAGGGAGATCCAGTATGAGAGTTGTCTACCACTAAGTGTGACTCCTGACTTGATCTTGTGCAACTGTACTATAAGAAACTGTAGAAATTAGTCCTGGGACATCTGTCCAAGGGGAGAAAAATTTACTGCATGGGGCATGAACCCCACACATACTCTGGACTTTATATTCATGGGTGCCAAGAAGTATTCTGTAAATTTCCAAGCCTTGACATCAGCGGATAGGCCTTTGGTGAGAGTTGAGAGTTACCTTGTGTGGGAGGGAGAAGAGACTTTGTTGGTTTGTGCCAGACAGAAGCTCCTTAGAGCCCAGCCTGTAGGGGAAGAAGGAACAAGGGGCCACGAAGGTCTGAAGTGCATAAGAACTTGCTTTGTGTCCATAAAGGCTTTAGTGTGCTACCTGGTGTAAGGAAGGGCTTTAGTGGGTGTTAACTGTTATTTCTTATGGTCCAGCAAGCAATGTAGAGATGATCAAGGGTAAGCTAAAATAGATGGGAGTTTTAACAGAAGACTGTGACTTGATTTTTGAGTTGGCATAACTCCTTGGAGACTCGCTTCTAATATTATATCTACACTAGTCAGTTGTATTCAAAAGTCTCTATAGCAACCACTTTTATCACTTGAAACTAAGTACCTCTGAATAGAAACACTCACACATGAATGCATGCTCAGAGGAAAAAATGTAAGAAGCCTAAATTTTCCCTTAAACAAGGAGCCCAAGTTTTCTTGGTAGACTAATGTGAATCTTAAAAGAGAGGGTAATTATTAGACATCTAATAGGTGTCAAGTCCTTTAATTTTCACAGCAACCCTATAGAGTAGATATCATCTCCCTTTTACTGTTGATTAAAACAGGAAGTGGGAAGGATTAAGTAACTGCCCAGTGTCCTAGAGGTAGTATGTGGTAGACTTGGGATTCTTAACAATATCTCATTCCAGAGAACCATGCACTTTCACCTGAATTATGTGGGTAAGTTTTGTTGATGAACATGCATTTTTGAGGTGTATTATTATATTTTCAAAAATAGTTTTTTTCTTTTTAAACTGTTTATTTTATACTGGAGTATAGCCAATTAAAAGTGTTGTCATAGTTTCAGGTGTACAGCAAAGTGATTCAGCCACACATACACAAAGAAACTGGAAAATTCTGAAAGAGATGGGAATACCAAGCCACCTGACCTGCCTCTTGAGAGACCTGTATGCAGGTCAGGAAGCAACAGTTAGAACTGGACGTGGAACAACAGACTGGTTCTAAATCGGGAAAGGAGTACGTCAAGGCTGTATATTGTCACCCTGCTTATTTAACTTATATGCAGAGTACAACATGAGAAACACTGGGCTGGAGGAAGCACTAGCTGGAATCAGGATTGCTGGGAGAAATATCAATAACCTCAGATATGCAGATGACACCACCCTTATGGCAGAAAGTGAAGAGGAACTAAAAAGCCTCTTGATGAAAGTGAAAGAGGAGAGTGAAAAAGTTGACTTAAAGCTTAACATTCAGAAAACTAAGATCATGGCATCTGGTCCCATCACTTCACGGCAAATAGATGGGGACACAGTGAAAACAGTGTCAGACTTTATTTTTGGGGGCTCCAAAATCACTGCAGATGGTGACTGCAGCCATGAAATTAAAAGATGCTTACTCCTTGGATGGAAAGTGATGACCAACCTAGATAGCATATTAAAAAGCAGAGACATTACTTTGCCAACAAAGGTCTGTCTAGTCAAGGCTATGGTTTTTCCAGTGGTCATGTATGGATGTGAGAGCTGGACTATAAAGAAAGCTGAGCGCCGAAAAATAGATGCTTTTGAACTATGGTGTTGGAGAAGACTCTTGAGAGTCCCTTGGACTGCAAGGAGATCCAACCAGTCTATCCTAAAGGAGATCAGTCCTGGGTGTTCATTGGAAGGACTGATGCTAAAGCTGAAACTCCAGTACTTTGGCCACCTCATGTGAGGAGTTGACTCATTGGAAAAAGCCCTGATGCTGGGAGGGATTTGGGACAGGAGGAGAAGGGGACGACAGAGGATGAGATGGTTGGATGGCATCACCGACTCGATGGACATGGGTTTGAGTAAACTCCGGGAGTTGGTGATGGACAGGGAGGCCTGGCGTGCTGCGATTCATGGGGTCGCAAAGAGTCGGACATGACTGAACGACTGAACTGAACTGAACTGATTCTCCCCCAAACCTCCCTCCCATTCAGGCTGCTGTTTAACATGAGCAGAGTTCCCTGTGCTATACAGCAGGACCCTGATTGTTACCCATTTTAAACAGCAGTGTGTACATATTGATCTAAAAATAAAAGAGTTCTTTGTATTAGCACAGTTGTTATTCTACTACATAAAGAAGAACTGATTCTTATTTACAGTGAGAATCAGACCAAAATTTAATCATGAGTAAGAGGCATGCCTTCGGAGGGAAAAATCAAATTATGTTGACATTAGTAATAGTTTGTTCAAGGGTGGTTCATTATAGTTAATGTGATTCAGCTCAGTCTTCTCAGTGAGGTCATTGGATCTGACTGGATGAGGTGAACTGCTGTCTAGAAGTGATATTTTATAACAAGGGGCCATGATTGGAAATAAGCATCAGTTCAGTGATGAGAATAGATATCTGCGGAGGCTTGTCTGAGCTGAGCCTTCTTCCACAGCTTCCCAAGTGATACTAGTGGCAAAGACCTGCCTTCCAGTGTAGGAGATATAAGAGGCATGGGTTCAATTCCTGGGTTAGAGAGATCCCCTGGAGCAGGACATGGCAACCCACTCCATTATTGCCTGAAAAATCCCATGGACAGAAGAGCCTGGCAGGCTACAGTCCATAGGGTCATACAGAGTCAAACATGACTGAAGTGATTTGGCACATTAAAACCTCACAATGACTCTCTATCAAGCAGTCACCTTAATGCTCATTTTTCAGCTGAAGTACAGAGAGCATGACCCTTTTGGCCAGGGCCAAAAAGCTAGTCAATGTTGAATTTTAATTTCAACCCAGGTGTTCTATCCATAAGCCCAGCATTGTATTTGCTAAATGGCTGCAGGGGATGCCCTCCTAAACCCTTCCTTCTCCAAGAGTGACTGGAGGCTAGTTGAGACTTCCTTGCAGCCTGAGAAATGCAGAATCCCAGACCTGACTCCTGGTCCTACTGAATCAGAATTCCCAGATGATTCAAGTCCACTAGAATGTTTGAGAAGCTCTCTCCTAAACCTTTTCTACCATGTAGATAGACAATCTATTAAAGGCTCACCTGTCCATGACCCCCACTAGGATCCTTCTCTGCATGGGCTCCTGCCTCAGAGAGCACAGGCCCAGGCAGAGTCATTTCTCCTGGGAACTTAAGGAAAAGTTAGCTTTTGGCAGTTGCATAATTAACTAATTTTAGACTTAGTATTTCAATTGATTTCAATGATAGCACTTTGCAAATTGTAAAAGCTTTGTTCATTCATTCCAAAAGCATTCATATGCTTTGAAGGCTCACCATATGTCTGGTGCTGTACCCTCAAGGAACTCACAGTCAGATGGAGAGACCAGGAAACAGACCTTTTTAATGTATGAGGTTATAAGCTATCAGTCCAAAAGTGTGGGGTTCTGAAGAAGCATAGAGGGGCACCATCTTTCCAAGATGATTTAGGCATTGTTCCATTCCTAACCTTTCCCTCTGTCTACAACAGGAACAGGATGGGACCAATTTTCAGGTGCCACCTGGGGTCCCGGAACCCATCTCAAAATGTGGTGACCTGGATGTCATCTTTGAATATAGAGCTGCCAGCCAGAAGCTCACAGTGACTATTGTCAGAGCGCAGGGCCTCCCGGATAAGGACCGAAGTGGAGTCAACTCCTGGCAAGTGCATGTTGTACTGCTGCCCAGTAAGAAACAGAGGGGCAGGACAAGCATACAGAGAGGGCCCAACCCCATCTTCAAGGAGAAAGTCACCTTCACCAAGGTGGAGCCCAGAGATGTGGCTGCCAGTGTGGTCCGCTTCCGCCTATACGCTGCCCGCAAGATGACCCGGGAGAGAATGATGGGCGAGAGGCTCTTCTATCTCAGCCACCTGCACCAAGATGGGGAAATGAAAGTGACTCTTGTTCTGGAGCCAAGAAGTAATATCAGTGTGAGTATGTTAAATGGTGCTGCTAATGATGTGCTATGTTGGAGGATCTGGAATTGTCAGCCCTTGATGTAATATGTTCAGCCTGTGAATTCAGACACCTTAATTTCTGTTTTATCCTTCTCATCCTTGTGAGCCATGCTTTGCACTTTACGGTACAATGGGGTTTTTATTTGTGTGTGTGTGTGTGCCCATAGCTCCTATAACCTGATGGATGTATCCCTATCCATTTTTGGACATGACGATGGCAGAGTAAAGGAGGACACAGGGAAACTGTGAGAGATTTCTTGACCTTCTCATTAGCTGATAAGTGGTTCTACCACCCATCCCCCTGCCCTGACCCCAGTATACATCATGATGCATCTCAGAGATGGGGCTTTCAAAGTGAGGTCCTTAACAAGTGTGCCTGAGTAGGTTACAGAGTAGCCCTGAATTTCAGCCACTTCTAAGACCTTCCATTTATTATGACTGGGCTTCTTCCACATGCCCATCTTCTATGTCCCTGGGTTTCAAGATAAGACAGCAAAGCTTTTATATCTACAAACAAGTAACTCTTTCTTCCTGTGGATGATATATATATCATCCAGTGTGAGGGTCTCCTTCTAAAAATCACATAAAAGATCAGATAGTTATCTTGGGCTGTTGGGCCAATCAGTCATTCATTCCAAAATGTTTATGAGTGCCTACTATATGTCAGGTGCCATTTTGGCAGAGGAAGGAACAAAACAGGGACTGTCCTTGCAAGGTGAACGAAAACAGGAGATGCCTTACAATCTGGTGGCGGACGGTGACAATAGACAGCCAGGGTAGACAGTGACAGAGGCTGTGTTTTCTTTTGAAGGGTCAGAAAAATTATCTTTCAGGTGGTGATATGACACAGAAAACTCAAGGAACCGTAGGAGCCAGCCTGGGTGCCGTGTGATGGACAGGATCTCCAGACAGAGGGGCTGGTACATGTAGACACCAGTGGGTGGGAAGGGGCTTGACTTGTCTGAGGAAGAAGAAAGGAGCCAGAGTCCAGACTGTGCTGATGGGAGATCCAGCCACTTACATTTTTAATAGATGTCTCAAAATTCAGACTCCAAATCCTGATTTTTGCCTCACAAAATCTATTTTGGGCTTCCCTGGTTGCTCAGCAGCCTGTCAATGCAGGAGATGTGGGTTCGAACTCTGGGTTGTGAAGATCCCCTGGAGGAGAAAATGGCAAACCACCCCAGTATTCTTGCTTGGGAAATTCCAGGGACAGAGGAGCCTGGTGGGCTGCAGTCCATGGGGTAGCAAGAGTCAGACAAGACTTAGCAACTAAACAGCAGCAAATCTATTTTACCTGCAGTCTTCCCATCTTGGCTAAAGACAATCTCATGCTTTGAATTCAGGTCCAAAATCTTAGAAGTCATTTGTGACTTCTCTCCATCTGAAATCCTACTGGCTTTTCATTAAAAATCCAACCAGAGCCTGACTCTCTGCTGGATTATTGAAATGGCCTCCTAGTCATCTCCCAACTTCCACCTTTGTCCCCTATAAACTACTTCCAGCTTGGGGACCAGAAGGAGCCTTTAAGACATAAACTAGATCACATCTTTATTGTTGTGGTTCAGTCACTAAGTCACGTCTGACTCTCTGAGACCTCATGAACTGCAGCACATCAGGCTTCCCTCTCTTGTCTCTGTTCAAATTCCTCTTTTCCCCCTAAGCTCAGAGTAGGGTGTGTCTTAAATCCTGGGGAACAGAAGTCATGGGAGTTCAGAGGAGTCCTGCATCATAAAGCATGGAGACAGGGATGCTCCCATCCCTGTAACTCTCTGCTGGACCCTGTGCTTTGTGATGGGGGCACAGAGCTGAGTAGGGGAAATGAGCTGTGTGAAAGAACCTTGAAGTAAAAATCCTCCCATTTACCTGTTGTTTGTTGAGTGTGGTTATCAGCTAGGCGCTGGACAATGCACTGTGGCAGACTGGGGTTTATAATATAAGGCTGGGGACTAGAGGGGAGAGGCAAGCTGTGTAGTGACAGGTGTCACAGTGGACACTTCTGCACAAGCCCAGGGGATGGGGTGGCCCTCACCCCAAACTAAGCAAGTATTTCCTTGTGGGATTATCATCATCTAGACAAAAGGGACCATAAGGCATCTCTTAAAACCACCTTGCCCTGTAGTTTATAAATTGTGTGTGCTAAATTGCTTCAGTAGTGTCCAACTCTGCAACCCTTTGGACCGTAGCCCAACAGGCTCCTCTGTCGTGGCAAGAATACTGGAGTGGGTTGTTATTTCCTTCTCCAAGTTTATAAATTATGTCCCATGAAAACCTCTGTGGGCTCTATAGGGATGCCTGTGGCTTTGTAAACAGGGTAGTTTCCTAAAATGTTAAGAAATATTTGATTTCTTTCAATGCATTTATTTATCGAGGTTCCTGATGAGAAATTTTAGGAAATGATTTCAGATGTTGAGAAGAAAGATTTGAGAAGAGTCCGATGCACATGTTTCTTTTTCTGAAATTTATTTTTAATTGGAGGATAATTGCTTTACAATGTCATGTTCATTTCCACCATACATCAACGGGCATATACATATGTTCCCTCCCTCTTGAACCTCCTTTCCATCACCCACCCTATCCCACCCCTCTAGCTTGTCACAGAGTCTGATGCACATGTTTCTGATGGAGAAGGTGATGGCTCCAGGAGGCTGGCTAGCCTGCCCTCAGAGCCCGTTCCCACTCCTGCTTCTTGAGTGAGAGTCAGTGTCCTGACCTCCTTTGCTCTCCTTCTCCTGGCATGTCTGGTGCACAGAGGCAGATGCTTTGGAGAAGCAATATGTGAATATATGACAGATAGTGTGGGCTCCGCTGGTGCCTAAGGTTTCTAAGACACACAGTCCTTGTGTCAACTTCCTTACTAAACAGTTGTGAAAGTGCTCACATTCAATAGAATTCATTTCCTTAGGAAGAAAAAAAAAATGTAGCATCTGCTGTATTCCTGACAACCTTAAAAAGCAGAACTGGGAGCCAAATGTTCTTTGGGGTGGTAGGCAGCCAGTGGTCATTTCTTTTCTGGTGAAGGCAAGATGCCTCCTATATTGTTGAATTCCTCAAGAAGCTGCAGGAAACAGAAGCTGAACTCATGCCTGGGGTGGACATGAAACATTTGAGCACAAATTGCACAGGAGGGAATTTGGATCTATATTAAATGTCTTCTTAGCTCTCCATGTATCTTTCTGGGTTTGATTTACACTAGTAATAACATCTTTGTCCATTTTGTCTTTAGAGAGGAAAGGGTGAATGGAGACAGCGCTTGAAACAAATATGTCAGCTAATAATGCAGGGAATCCCATCCAGGACTGCGCTCCCCAGGCCCTATTATCATTCACACCGAGTGCGCCCTTAGTAATCTTTGGCAGCAGTGGAGACTGGGGCCACAATTTCGCCAAACATATCGGCTTTCTGTATGGGAGAAAGCGCAGCCGGGACCAATGGATCCTTTGTTGTTCTTCCCCTCCAGAGTGGAGAGTCTCCGCTCGGCCCATCTGCAGTGTCTCACAGTGATAGCGCTTCATCCACGCAGTCGCTGTCGCATGGAGGGGCGCCAGAACTGTTGGTGGGGCTGTCATACAATGCCACAACAGGGCGATTATCCGTGGAGATGATCAAAGGCAGCCATTTCCGAAACCTCGCTGTGAACAGAGCACCTGGTAAGTTCATGCCTATACCCCCAGCTCTGGTCCTCCCAGAGGCAGGCAAAAGGCTGTGTCTGCTTTCATCTCAATTCTGTAACTTGTAAAATAAAAATGATCTTGGTGTGATTTAGACAATTTTTACCAAATGATGTCTCTGGATTTTTCAAATACTTTTCTGTTTAATTAAATTGAAGGCTTCTGTGATACCTGGATGAATCTTGATATAAAACAGGCTGACCTCTGTGAGTGTATTGAGGGGAAAAGAATGATGTCTTTTCAGCAGCATAACATGTATATATAAACAATTAAAATCTGCTAATAGGTCCCAGGCCCTCAAATTCTTTAAAGAGGCAGAGTTCAGTCTTTGGAGCCAGGCAGACTTGTGATCTAACTCCAGCTCTGCTCATTTACCTGGTAGCTTTGCTCTGATCCTATACATTTTACCTCTCTTTCTGAACCTCAGAAAACTCATCTGGAACAAAGGAATAGTAAGAGCACCTTCCTCATGTGTTGTTTTGGGGCTTAAATAAAATTATTTATGTAGAACATTTAGCATAGTGCCTGACACATAGTGAGCATGCAAGAAATGTGAGTGGTTATGTTGTGGATGGCAGAGGAGGTCGAGTAAGAAGACATAGGCAATCCAGGCCTGACTCACCAGGGAAACTTCTGAGATTACCCCTGGAAAAAGCAGCTCAAAACATACCCCATAGTGGCTTTCCAGGGCTCAGGAAGCCAGAATAAAAGTGTTGCTGCTGCCAACTGCCCGAACTGCCTCTGAGTACCCAAGAAACTAGAGATTGAACCTTGGAATAATGCTGCTAAAAAATCAGCTCACATTTAATGATCTTGCTCATTAGCAGAAACAGCTTAAGAAAGGGTGGGAAGATGGTTTCTGTCTTACTTCTGTCTGCTGGATCTCATGTAACATCTAATTAGAAGAATCTAATTTATATCTAGAATGCTAGCTGCAAGAGAATCAGGGAAATGCTGTTGAAATTCCAGCCTTTTGAGTCCAAGAAGGTAAAATAGATGGGGCTAGGGTAGAGTGTGAGTGAGTCTGTTCTCCACAGACTGCCAAATCTTTTCTGAAATAAGTATCAGGTCAGTAACAACATGATAGGCTTCATGAGCCAATGGACTCTGGCCTCACCTGTCCACACCAAGTGAAGAGCCAGCCAAGCTGGTGGAAGAAGGTCAGCTCCTACAACCAAATCTGGACTCTCACTCCTTTTACTCTCTAACTGTGCCACCACCCACAATGTCTCTGTTCAGTAGTATCTTGTTAGTCGGTCTGTATTAAAGCCATTAGAGCAAGTTAGTAAGGAAAACCCAACAGTTTGGATAACAGAAGAGACCAGGGGCATAAACCATATTCTATATCAAGGCTCAGAACCATGTAAGAGCTATTTAAAATCCATAGTACATATTGATTATTAATTGCATGGATAGATGCTCCTTTCTAGATATAGCTTTTAAAAAATAGCTCCAGATTTACTAAAGATCTGGATTTACTACTTTTCCTGTAGAACTTTTGCTGGTCTCTTTTTCTGTCTTCTGAGATTTGGTGAGATCTGAACAATTTAGGAGGAAGAAGATGGTGCAGCTGCAGATAATGATGAGGGAGATGGACCACACAATCATGGCCTATTCCAATGCATGTTGGGAGGCTTTAATTTGCATGCTTAGATGTTCCGGGCAATACAGGGGAGAAAGACAGTATGGTGGCTAAGAAAGCATCAACTGGAGGATGCCAAACTAAGGTTTTTGCCACTTGCTAGCTGTGAGTTACTGAATTTTTTTGACTCTGTTTTCTTATCTGTAAAATGGGATCATAATAATATATACTTTTCAGGTAGGGATATTACATGTAAAACTGTGCTTTGAGAATGGTGCTAAGGTATCTTTCCACATTTCTTTATAAAAGAGAATATGCCAAAAAGGAAACTATTATAACAAATACTTAAAATTGAGTAGGAAAACAAGGCAAGTCCTCATTTTGAAATTGATTTCCTTCTAGAAGTTTAAGTCAGATTGGCATTTATTACATGGTTTTAGATAGAATAGTGATGCAGTGTAGCTGAAAATGTAACTGACATGCTGTATCTTTGCAACCAGAGTAATAGAAGACAATGTTGCTGTGATGCTATTAATTAAAACAGAAACCCAATAGTGAAGACAAAAGTTTTTTGTTTACATGGAATGCTAGTACTTAAGGAAAAACCAGTTTAATTAGGATGGACTGACAAAGTAGAAGGTTCTTTTGTGGCGACTCTAAAAGGGACCTCTTGGTACTTTCAAGGGCTTGGGATGTTGACGATGTTGGCCTTTCATTATGTCTCACTTCTTTATGCCACTAGCAGGACTTTGGCAGTCATCAGACAAGCTTAGGGTACAGTTCGAGTTCCCATATGGAAGAGAATAAGAGAAAGGATGAGGGAACAAGAGTTTTATGAGGTAACTGAGCAGCATTGGAAGAAAGAGAGGGAGAAGAGGGAACGATGCAAGTTGGGAAATGAATGGGCCTGAAGTGGGGAATGGGGACACTGCCAATTGCACTCATCTCCATGGAGAAAGTGGAGAGAGGGCAGGGGGGACAGGACCCTGCGCCAGAGTCCACCCTGAGGGAGCTGCCTGTGGGAGGGAGGCGTGGGTAGAAACATGTGCGTGAAGGTCACAAATCCTGTCCTTGAGACCCTCAGCTTAGTGGCAGTCACCTCCTCTGTAGAAAGGGGTCATCAATCCTGCCTTGCAGGGTGGCATTGATAATGTAAAGAATGGTTCTTAAGGTAGTCCGAAGAAAAAGAAGTTGAGCCTGATGACTAGAACCTCTATAGAATGCCAAAGGTGCTAAATCTTGATGGAAAGAGACAAAGGCTAGAATTTAGAAGTGAGGATCTTTGCATCAAAGTATTTTGTCAGCCAAAAGATAACTTTGAATTTGCCAACTTGAACCAGCTAGATGACTGTTCTGATATTTTAAACTTTTCCTTCTAAGCAAGATAGAGGAGAGGTGGACTAATAATAGATGCAGTTACCCTTCTCTTTTCAGGCCTTAGAAGAAATAAGCCACCAGATGTATGCTCCTCTCCCCAAATCCCTGGGGGAGAAGGCCCAGTGAGAGGCAGGTTTAGCTCTAGTGGGCAGGAGCCAGTGGGAGCATCCCTGAAGATGAGTGTCTGCCACACCTCCCCACCCCAGAATGGTTAAAACTAAAAAGACTGATTCCCTCAAATGTTGGTGAGGATGTGGCGAATACTTTCTTGGTGGGAGTGTAAAATGGAATAACAGCTTTGGGAGAAGGCCTGGTGGTGTCTCATATAGCTGAACATGCACTGAAAATCCAGTTCTATTCTTGGGCATTTGTCCATAAGTTAAAAAAAGAGACTTTCATTAGAAGGTTTATAGCAGCTTTATTACAGTGTACAAAAATGGCAAAGAGCCCTTATGTCCTCATAATTGAATAAATAGATTAAGATATATTTTGTATAGTAGAATACTATTCAGCAATAAAAAGGAATGAAATTAACTGAGGCATTCAACAACATGGAGGAATCTCAAGAACATACCAAGTACCTACTGCATGATTCCATTTATATGAATTTCTAAAACAGGCAAAATTTGTTTAAACATATAGTGAGGAAAAAAAGCAGAGGAGTGGTTGCTTCAGGATTGGTATTGGCATCAAGATGACTGGGCATGGACATGAGGGAGTATTCTGGGGTGATGGACATATTCTGTATTTTGATAGGGATGTGGGTTAAATGGATGTTTGCATTTGTTAAAACTTACTGAATGGTGCTAGGCTTCGTGCACTTCACTGCATGTAAATTTTACCTTATAATATGAAAGAACCATAAATTATTGAACTCTAGTTAATGAAATATATGCTGAAATGTTTAGGGATAAAGAACGATGATGGCTACAGGTATGACAGATTGATGGATAGATAGATGTATAGATATATGAGAAAGCAAAGTCTGTTATCTCAGGCTACTATAGCAAAGGTACCATAGGTTGGGTGGCTTAGGCCAGGTGAACCCAAACTCTGGGATCTAATGCCTGATGATCTGAGGTGTAGCTGATGTAACATTACTAGAAATAAGGTGCACAATATAATGTGCTTGAACCATCCTGAAACCATCCCCCCACCAATGCATGGAAAAAATGTCCTTCACAAAACTGGTCTCTGGTGTCAAAATAGTTGGGGACTGCTGGCATAGACAACAGAAATTTTTTTTTCTTGCAGTTCTGGAGGCTGGGAAATCCAAGATCAATTTGGATTTGATCAGCTAATTTGGTTCCTGGTAAAAACCCTCTTTTTGGTTTTCAGGCAGATATCTTGCTGTATCTTCACATGATGGAGAGAGAGTACCTCTATCTCATGGCCCTTCTTCTAAGGGCACTGATTCCATTCATGAGGGCTCCACCCTCATGACCTGATTACCTCCCAAATATCGCACATTCAAATACTGTCACATTGGGGATAAAGGCTTCGACATATGAATTTTGGTAGGACACATCAGGCCATAGCATAGATGGAACAAAATATGACAACGGAAGAATCTAGGTGATGAATATATGGGTATCCACTGTATAATTATTTCAAATTTTCAGCATACTTGAAATTTGTTATAAAATAATAGGCATAAAAAACTGGTCTGGTCTGGAATAGTTCAGTTGGGCTAGGTAGATAAAAATAAAACATGAATGAAGCCATAGATAGGGAATACTGTGGTGGGCATTACATTGTTTTTTAAATTATGCTGAAATCTCAAGGTCCACCCTTGATTCAACCTTGGACAGAACAGACAGGGTATCAATCAAATAACCTGAGGCCATCTTCTATAGCATCCTTCATAAACCACATCCATCCCAAGACAATTTGATTGGGCATTTCTTTCTTTCTAACTTTAACCTTTTCTCTATTCATCAGATAGATAAATAGATTTTTATATCTACATCCCTCTTCCTGCCATCTTCCCTCCCTCTCTCCCTTCTTTTCTCTTTCCCTT